GCCTTGTTGCTGTTTTAAGTGCTATATAAATAAATTGGTATGGTATGGTATGGTATGGTAAGTAATTATGCCTCAAGTGCTTTTAATCTTTTTTACTATTTTACAGTTCTTTTTTGATCTGACAGAAGATCCAATAATCCAACTGAAGATCCAATTCAATTTTATTTCTAAAGCCTTGAAGAAATAAAATACTTGTACTAAATTACACTGTAAACACCCAGTCAATAAACTATAAAAGAACAAAACTATAAAATCATAAATATATCAATATCTTGAAAGGTAACACAAGCGAAAGAATAAACGTGAGTTTTAAGTGAGGATTTACAAGCAGCTTAGGAGAAAGTCTGTAACATGCAAAGGCAGTTTGTTGGTCCCACCACCCCAGAGCACGGCCCCCTCTGAGCTCACCTGGTTTTTGGTTCATTCAGGAGCAGCTGATCAGCAGACCTGAGAGAACGGGCAGGTATGTAAGGGTAGCAGCTCAGAAAGGTAAGGAGGGGCAAGACTGTTGGAAGATTTAAAAACAAAATCATTTTAAACTGGATTGACCAGCAATAGAAATATTTTACAACAGGTGTGATGTGGTTAAATTATCTTCTGCCAGTTAAAAGGTGTGCCGCAGCATTTTACAACATCTGTAAAGGGACAACTCTCTGACTCCAACACACAGAGTGACTGTTGTCCAGAGGTGTGGATCAGTAGTTCAAACAGCCGCTCTGAAAGAACTGGACATATCTTGGCCAGCTGCCTCAAATGGGGAGGAAAAGAAAAAAGATTTCACTGCTACCCTGATGCATGATCAATAATCCAAGTAGAAAAATCTAAATTAAAAAAAGAAAGAAAAGTCAGGTCCTCTGGATGGATTCTTCTTGTTGAAATGTTTTGTCTTTTATCAAAAAGACTTATTCAGTCTGAGAAGCTGCAACAGACTCAGTCTTATAAATAGCACCTTCTCATAGTGGATCAACCAGTTTCCTGGTGACATCCAGAACTAGCTGTTCACATGATAAAGGACCATCAGCCTAACGACTGATTGTTAGTGCCCTGATGGCTTCTTGCCATTTACAGACAGCATTGTGGACAGTTGAACACGGAGGCTCCGCCCCCGTTTAATGATGGATGGGTTCTCTTCACAAAGATGGCCTCCTTCACTCCTCTCTCAAACCATCGTTCCTCTCTGTCCAGGATCTGAACATCTTCATCCCTGAAAGAGTGACCTCTGACCTGCAGATGAGTGTAGACCGCAGAGTCCTGGCCTGATGATGTTGATCTTCTGAGCTGGTCCATCCTTTTGGCCAGTGGCTGTTTAGTTTCCCCGATGTAAGACTGATTACCCTCCTGACACTGAACAGCAAACACAAGTGAGTGTATTAGTTTAAGCCTGAGTTTATTGCAGCTCCTCAGACTGACAGTCTATTTGATAAAAGACGAAATGTTTCAATTAGAAGAATTCGTCCAGAGGACCTGACTTTTTTTATTTTTATTTTTTTTTAGATTTAACTACAGTAGTCCCTCGCTACTTTGCGGTTTTTCACTTATCGCGGTGCTTCAGGGTACGGATCCTCCGTGATAAATGAGGGACTATTGTACTACCTTTTATTCGGCTGTCGAATTGAGGATTAACATCAATTTTGACCCCTTAAATTTGTGATGTTAGCTTGAAGTACTGGGCAAAGAGAGAGGCTGAAGTGTTGCATAACTCAAGTTCTTTTTTAAACCTCTCCAAGTCATTGTAAACTGATGTCACGATTCCTTTAAAATGAGAAATGAAGCTCATAGTTTGTCCCTTTTCCGCTTGCGTTCAGCTTTGTGCCATTGGTACCTCATATCTTATAAGTCAGGTCTTTCAGCCAGGGCTCAGGTTTAGCTTTAAGTCCAGCTAAGTCTGAGAAGAGCCACCAAATCTAAAGTAGGCAGGTAACCACCCCTGCATTAAATTTTCTTTGTATGGGATGTAACACAGGAACAAGACTGTGTGAAAGCAGCCAAAAACTGTTCAGCATTGCAAGGGTTAATGACTCTGCAACGATGAGAGGCTGGGTGACATTTAAGGGTTTTACAAGCCTCAAGTGACCTGAATAACAATACAGGCATGTGATCCGAGGACATTATATCACAAATTTCTGTGATATAACAAGATCTAGAAGATGTCCAAGCTCTTATGTGGGACCATATACAAATTGTGCAAAATAAAGAAAGAGTCAGTGATGTTTAAAAAGCCTTTAGCCCGAGGCACATCTTTAAATGACACGTTCACCCTGGCTTAATGTCTGAGAGGTGTAAAAGGAAACAGTCCAGCAGTAAAAGCTCCGTTAAAAGCACTAAAGTCACCTACGCGCAGCCAAGTTTCATTCACGCAGAGAAAATCCAATTACTGAGATGTGAAGAAATCCTTGCTAGCATTTACAAAGATGAACTGACGAGGAGTCGGCAGGTCCACGGCATTAGAATTGCAGGGAGCCGACGCTGCGGCCGAAGTTTTTGTAGGTTCACTAAGCTGTTGCAATGGTAGAGAGCAGGGACAGCAACTGGACCACGAGCTGCTGTTGTCCAGTTGACAATGGGTACCAACCAGGTGTCAGCATGGTCCACCCAATGCTGAGATGCAGGAAGGTAAACGGCCTTCCCACACTCTATTCAAGCAGCCATGAACAAACTAACTTGGTCTTAACTTGGTAACCATCATGTTTACCATGGACCATGGCTGCACTGAAATTGATGCTGTTGAGGTAAGAGTCGGGGTTCGGCAAAGAGACGACAAGATTTCTGCTATAAATGGTGGTAGTTCATTCACCTTACCAAGGCTTCACTAGATCTTGAGCAAAAACCTGAAGACCCAGCAATGTTTGGTATACAATTAAAGAGTTGACTTTAAGGGTTTAAAGCAGCAAACGGATCACACACACACAAACAAGTGGCACGCCATATACACTGGCACCATCTTGATTTGTCCAAATGGAAAGCCTCTAGAAACGGAAAACTGAAACCAAGTCTTGTTTTTCCACAAAGCAGGAATTGGGGAGGAAGGTGTTGCTGCTGGTGCTTTTGTAATTTATCCTCACTGCCACATCTTCAGCCATGTTGTTACTATGAACAGCTTTTAGCCAGTATCTCCAGAGATGGAGAGGCTCTCACAAACAAAGCAGATTTTGCAGTCTCTATGGAAACAGCAGATTGCATCATAGCTTGCTCTTTGCCCACCGCTCCCTCGCTTTTTTACAATTCAAGCATAAGCCAGAATGATGGCTACTTTATGAATCAAAGTGCAGAGTTGCATCATTATATTAGTGTAGATTAGAGCGCATGTATGCTGAGAACATGTCACTAGAGGAAAAAACAGCTGCTGTGTGCTTTTTGCGTATTAGTAGTTTTAGTTCGTACATTCTTCTAATAGTACAGAAATTCATGAATTATTAGATTTAGTGAACTTCAAATTATTAATGTAGTACCAGCAGCCTGCGAGGCTATTCACGTGTCCTATAATTTGTAACTTAATTAGATAAAGTTCCATCAAATGACATAAAAACATTCTTTATCTATATTCTAGTTGTGAATGTTCCCCACTGTCTTAAAGTTTTGAACAGATATTTGATTTCCTAAGAAGTTATTATTACGTTATTGTCCAAATGTTCTGTTTTTAAGCGAATAAGTGTTTTTATACCCAATAATCGACTACATTTTAATGTATCTATATGTACTTTGTTTTTAGTCCTAAATAACAAATGTATGGTTTTTAGCTCCATATAGAAAACTAAGCATGTTTGTGGGCTGTTAATATTTTGAGTAGTCCATTAAAATGTGGTACAATCTTCATTTAGTCTCCTACTACACTAATTAAAAATGTGTTTACCCAAATGGTAAAAAACAACAACTTTGTTTTACAAAAAGCAAAATGTTCTTGCTTTTGAACACTCGTTTCCTGTTGAGAGCCGTGTGACAGGGTCCTCCTGCTCCAGTTGGTTGTCGGGGTCTTAAAAAAGAAACTAACAGGCTTCGTACTACAAAAAGACCTGTAAAGAAGCCTCTGCTGCATTGTCCAAGTGGGGTAGAAGGGATTAAATCCCCCCAGCCAAACACAAGCCTGTCGAAACAAAACCAGCTTTCAGAGCAGCGCACAGCCAATCAGACGTCACCTGACAGGTGGGGCCGGCTTCTCAATGCAGGGGCAGTTGAGTAAAGCTGAATTTGATCTGTCTGTGTTTTTGATTGCTCCATCTTGATAAGAGCTACAGTCGTGAAAAAATACCATCAGTTCTACGGTTTTCCATATCGGAGCCCTTTAAGCCTTTCAAGCATGCCCTGCTTGTTCAGAGTTTTTCTAACAGTCCTGTTATAAACTTTCACTTCCTGACTGAGGCCTGTGGAGTCTAAGAAGGAACTTTTAATTAATTCCTTTTCTTATAATTTGACTAAGTATTGCACGGTCTTACCTTGGGGTGAGTTTATTACGACAACCACTCAATTGGCAGCTGTCTTAAAAGTTTTCCATCCATCCATTAACTTCACCCGCTTCTTCCTTTTTTACGTAGCAGGGGTCACTGGTGCCCATATCTAGCAGTCAATGTGCGAGAGGCGAGGGACGCCATGGACAGGTCTCCAGTCCATCACAGGGACACAAAGAGACGAACGAGACAACAATTCACTCTCTCTCTCTCACCTAGGGACAAATAGAGTTGCCAATCAGCCTAACATGCATGTTTTTGGTCTGTGGGAGGAAACTGGAGTACCAGGAGAAAACGCACGCATGCACGGAGAGAACATGCAAACTCCACCCAGAAAGGTCCTGGGCCGGGATTTGAACTGGCGACCTTCTCGCTGAGAGGCAACGTCTATATCAACTGAGCTACCATGCCGCTCTAAACATTTTGTGCTTGTGAATAATTTTTTTCCTCTTGTGAAATATTCGACATGACCTTTAACACTAACAGTAACGTCTCCTTGACCGCTGCTCATGTCTTTCCTCCTTAAACATCTATTAATGGCTGCATTTTTTTTTTCAGGTCACAGAGCTGAATGAACCACTCTCCAACGAGGAGAGGAACCTCCTCTCTGTGGCTTACAAGAACGTGGTTGGGGCGAGGCGTTCATCCTGGCGGGTAATCTCCAGCATCGAGCAGAAGACTTCGGCTGACGGCAATGAGAAGAAGATCGAGATGGTCCGAGCATATCGGGAAAAGATAGAAAAGGAGCTGGAGGCCGTCTGCCAGGATGTGCTCAACCTCCTCGATAACTTCCTGATCAAGAACTGCAACGATACGCAGCACGAGAGCAAGGTGTTCTACCTGAAGATGAAGGGCGACTACTACCGTTACCTGGCTGAGGTGGCCACGGGGGAGAAGAGAGCTTCTGTGGTGGAGTCCTCCGAGAAGTCGTACAGCGAGGCCCACGAGATCAGTAAGGAGCACATGCAGCCCACCCACCCCATCCGCCTGGGCCTGGCTCTTAACTACTCCGTCTTCTACTACGAGATCCAGAACGCCCCCGAGCAGGCGTGCCACCTGGCAAAGACCGCCTTCGACGACGCCATCGCTGAGCTGGACACCCTGAACGAGGACTCCTACAAAGACTCCACTCTCATCATGCAGCTGCTACGAGACAACTTGACGCTGTGGACGAGCGACCAGCAGGACGATGAGGGAGGCGAGGGCAACAACTAAGGAGTCGGAAACCTAATTTTGCCAAAACAACACAACATGCGCGCTCTAAAGATAATAATTGTTTAAAAAGTTCTTAATTTTAAAAAAAAAAAATCAAAAACAACGGGAGGGTTGGGTGGGGGCGGTGGAACATTGGCGGCCAGTTTAGCTGATGGTAGCGATGCGGCTGCTGTTCTTTATTTTTCCACAAATTAAACGTGAATAATGGTAGAAGGGAAGATGTGTTTATTTGGAAAAATAAGCTAAGACTAAAAAAAAACAAACAAAAAAAAAATAACACATGGATCCCTCTTCTTGACGGCCTCTGCAACATTTGCCAAAATACGACTTTAGAAGTAAGACGTGTGTCGTTCACCACGGTTTGAATATTTGGGATCCAGCGCTTTCCCAACAGGCAGGCTGGTCTCATGGAGTAAATGAAGCGGAGCTGTCTAAATGCATTCAGCGAAGGGAGGAGCACTCAGAAATTCAGTTTCAATGCTTGAGCGGCAAAGAAAACCAACTGAGCGTCATGGCCGTGCTTAGTGAGACGGAGAAAGTGAATCGGAGAGGACGGCGGGTTTTGTAGGGGTGTCACCGCGTGACTTCAAACGTACAGACGTCTTTAGTTGCACCGCATCCATGGTCGCCGAGTGAAGAGCAGGTTATGTCTGGTTGATGATAACGTGGAGAGAAATGAAGCGTTTTTGTTTGCTTTGTGTCGGGTACGTGTCCCACAGTCGAGTCCCACTGTAATTTAAAACGCAAACCCATCCAGTGAACTTAGTGCAGCTTGTCCCCCTCATGTGCTGATGTGCTTTCTAAAATAAATTAACTGTTTTTGGACACCCAATTCTTATTGTCGATATCGTCTTTACTGTAACATCTATTGGCTTCATGCGTTTGTGGGGAACAACTTGAATCCACACGGCAAATTTAATATTAATGAACACTTTCAAAATGTTGATGCTTGGGATCGAACGACCAGAAGGATCTCTGACGAGCTGAACGCAGAACTGCAAACGAGAACGAGTATCATTTGTGAACAGAGCACTTGAGTTGTTAAAGTGGATGCTGTACAGGCAGATTTCTGAGGTTTGACTCTTCTTTTGCTTTCAGTTTCTTCTCGGTTAAAAAAAAAATGCACCTGCCTTCTATACTGTCTCTTCAGTGTAAGATGATGACTGCTCCAATATTCTCAATAATACAATGTGCATGCTGGTGATGTATTTATACAGTAGCTTCAATTTATTAACTTATACTGTAGATGTTATGTATTCATATGAACATGGAATTATTAGGCTTTAATCTGATTATTTTCTATTTATTTCTTTCTCTTGCTATTCGCTAGACCTTCTTTTAATCTGTGTTTTCTTTACTCCGTTCGCTAAAGTACGCTATACCAAAACAGTGATTGTTAACAATAAATTGATCTGTTATGGACATTGCCATGGTGACATGCCTTTCTTGGTAAGAGGGATTAAAAGTGAGGATTGGCTCTGTCTGGATTTTTTTATTTATTCCATCCATCTATTATCTTTACCCGCTTCTTACTTTTTATGGTCGCGGGGGTCACTGGTACCCTTTCGCAGCAATCACTGTGCGAGAGGCAGGGGACAACCTGGACAGGTCTCCTGTCCATCACAGGGACACATAGAGACAAACAAGACAAACAACCATTCACTCCCTCACTCACACCTAGAGACAATTTAGAGTCACCAATCAGACTAACATGCATGTTTTTGGTCTGTGGGAGGAAACTGGAGAAAACCCACACATGCACGGAGAGAACGTGCAAACTCCACCCAGAAGGGTCACCGGACCGGGATTTGAACCGGCAACCTTCTCGCTGACAGGTAGCAGCTCTACCAGCTGTGCCACCGCGCTGCCCTTTTTGAAATTCCGTTTCGTAAAAATACATAAAAAAAAAGGCCATTTGTAAAAGTTATCTAAGGACGCCAGCAGACTCGCTGAATCTTCGTCACGGTTTCCCATCCCGAGCAAGCACGATGGCAACAGTGGAAAGGAAAAACTCTATTTAACAGGAAGCAACCTCCGGAAGAACCAGGCTCGGGACAAGCGGCCATCTGCTTGGAGCAGCTGGGTTTGAGAGGACAGGAAGTAGAAACAGACGAACACAGAATGACCGGTGCGAGTGTACCCCCTACTGGAAGAAAAACAAAGATAAAAAGAGTTACAAATACAAAACAAGAGTGAGTAAAGACCGCAGCATAGTGAAGACGTGATCAGATTGTCCTCTAGCAGTCTACGCCCTATAGCAGCATAACTAAGGGATAGCTCAGGAAACCCAAGCCAACCCTAACTATAGGATTTATTTAAAAAAATAAACTTAAAACTGGACAATGTGTCAGCCTCACGGACAGAAACTGGAAGTTGGTTTCACAAGAGAGGAGCCTGAGAACTGAAAGCTCTGCCTCCCGTTCTGCTAAGGAAACTCTAGGAATCACAAGTAAACCTATCTGAGTGAATTCTGTTAGGAAAATATGGAACAATAAGATCTGTAATAAGATGGACCTAGGTTGTTGAGAGCTTTGTAGGTTGTATGTTCTACCCCCTGACGCTACATATAAAGGGGACAGTCATAAAAATAAATCATAGAATAAGTGGAAAAACAAACCAGTTCATTGTAAAATTTCTTTATTCAGATCCTCTAAAAACCCTGTCTGCACGGTGGCTTAGTGGTCAGCACTGTGACCGCACAACAATATAAAGACAACACTGACAAATGGAAGTAATGCATAATTGAGAGCATTCAAGAAACCACCACAGATGCAAGCACTAAAAAGAATTACTGGTTCTTCTATTAGAATCAAAACTGCACTTACCCGTTAATCAGTTTTTCAGGCACATCATTTGTTCTCTGACAGGAAGTTGATCTGTGGTCCGTTCTCAAAGTCCAGATGAGAACAGCTCCACTTAGTGTCCTGGTTTTTCAGCCACAAAGTGATAGTGGGTATCTAGAAAATAAACAGCTACATCATTGCAGTATATTCTTTTGTTGTTGTTTACTAAAGTGTAAACAGGAGGTGTGAATACAGCAGAAAATCTCCATTTTTAAAAAACATACGTAAGGAGCAGTGTGGATGGGACCTTGACGTCTTTTCATTTAAACTCATTTGTAGGAGCACTTCCTGCGCACGGCGCGATGTGCAATATTAAAAGCAGTGAACTTTTAATAAAAACTGTTTGAATGTCTTTTCATGGCGTATTTATGTGGAGCAGTAAAAGCTCCACACACAAGCCTAACTCAGGGCGCCAGAGGATAAAAACACCTTCGGCTGTTTTGTGTCTGCAGTACAGAACGATAGAAGGTACAAGCAACAATGAATACGTCATTGTTCCTGAGACTCCATCCAGCTCACCTTGGTGCATTTCACATGAGACCTCCAGCATTTGTTTTACATGGGATGTCCTTCCTGCAGCCACCTCAAACCCATGGAGGCCACGACCACAGCGCCACCGAGCTACAGCAGCCTTCATGGTCATCTGTGATGTAAGGAGTTTAAAATGTGGGACAAACTGAAAGATTTGCTTCAACGCTTTTTAAAATGATTTATTTCCTGCTTTGCTGAACTGCTTCGTGTTTGTATGATCTCAGACAGAAAGAAGTCCTCCGCTCTTACGGGCAGACCGCTGAACCTGCAGCTTCAGATCATTACTTTTAATAATTAAGACGCACACCTGCATGATCTACTAGTGTTGGGATCAAACCCTGTGGAGGTGCTTCATGTGTGTTTCGTGTCAAATTGTGAACTTTCACCTGGACCAAGAATAATTATTAAATAAAACGTGATATAAATGTGATAAAACCTCTATTTGCTAGTTTATACATTTTAAGTATTAATATATTTCACCTACTTTTGCTCATTGAGAGGTGCTGAAGTGTCTCAGACTTCTTTATTCTTTCCTTCACCACCTGAAACATATTAATGAAGTAGCTACAATGCTAACATTTAGCATTCCTTCATGTCTCCTGCAGTCCTCAGTAGTTGAAGGGACATGTGTGAAAGCACTTTGTTCTATTTCAAGTATGAATGAATGTTTTGACGTTTTGATCCACAAAAGTGCAGGAAAAAAAAGAAGCTTTAATGCTTCTGCATTACAGGTAATAGGAGTAAGAAGGGAATAAAATATGAAAAAGCAAAATGTCACGAATCAAAATACGTTGAAACATTTCTTTACAATAGCCAAGCTGCTGGCCTCCACCTTCCTCTGAAGCTAACTCAATCCGAGCCGTACTCAAGATTAGGAACTTGGCTCCAAATAGTAAATCTACAGAAACATCCACATCTGGAAACACTGGAAGATGATGTCAATCACAAACTGTAATTTGTCAAATGAACGTCTTCGCTCACAGACAGAGAGGTTTGCTGGAAACAGCTGGCGAGCGCTAAGGTCGTTTTCACACCTGATAGTCCGGTAGACTCGGTTCGGTTGGGGACCAATATTCATAACATTTATTTACATTTGAGCTGGTGCGTTTGCATTCACACCGTGCAGTGAGCCAACCTGCTGAACCAACCTGTTCCCCCGCTCGCCTGTGGGGGCGCTGCACCAAGAACTACTGAAAGAAACGACACAAAAACCTCTGAAGACACTTCTTCTTCTTCTTCTGGAAATAAAAACAAAAACGGAGTGGCGTCAAATTTTAGCGGTTTTAGGAGTTATATTTTGTCATTTTTCAACAATGGACTCAGCATGAGCAGAAGATGAGACAGAAGACCATGGAGAATGTTGTTTTCCACACAAGGCAGCTGACGGCTCCATATGAGGTCAGAGAAATGTGTGTTTGTTTACCCTATGGAGCGGGGCCCGGTCTGTTTACATTCACACTGTACTCGAACCGCGCTGGAGTTCTCTTCTACCGGACCGAGACCTCGGTTTAGCACGGGCCAGAGTTCGATGGCGAGTTCACACCTCCCCAAATGAACTGGACTTCGTAGGCAAACGGGCTAGAGTTCGGGACAACAGGGCTGGTGTGAATGCAACTCTAGCTCGGTTCAAGTACAGTGTGAATGCAAGCAGACCGGGCCCCGCTCCGCAAGCAGGAAGAGGAGTAGAGCGCAGGGCAAACAAACACGCATTTCTCTTACCTCATATGGATCTGTCAGCTTGTCTTGTGTGAACTCCTAAAACTTGATGCCACTCCGTTTTTGTTTTTATTTCCAGAAGAAGAAGTGTCTTCAGAGGTTTTGTGTAGTTCCTTTCAGTAGTTCTTGGTGCAGCGCCCCCCACAGGCGAGCGGGGGAACAGGTTGGTTCAACAGGTTGACTCGACTGCACAGTGCAGTGTGAATGCAAACGCACCAGCTCAAATGTAACAAAAGGTCATGAATATTGGTCCCGAACCGAACCGAGTCTACCGGACTGTCAGGTGTGAAAACGACCTAACTGGTCACAGCATTTAACCTTTGCACAGTCTAACCAGAGGGCCGCGAGACGG